GGTAATGGTGGGGAAACCGGATGCTTTAGCTGCTTATAAGCTCCACCAGCCACTTACCCTTAAGCCACCCTCACCCAACAAATACAAAACCCAGTGTTTCTCAATTGTGGTAACTGACATTTTCTCAATCCCGTGCAAAATAACCATATAAGCATTATCAGAGAACCTTGTGTCGCCACGGGTCAGAACACACTCAAGGACAACTAACAACATCCACCACAGAATTTAAGCAAAAGTGTGCTTGCAAATAAAGCTTCAAAACAAAATTCAATAAACCTGAAGTTAACAAAAGACGTTTGTGGTTTAGGTTGAACAAAGCCGGTGGAACGAGTCTCCTGAGCGCTTTTAGAAGGGTGATGGGCATCAAAGACTTGGCTAGAGGCAGGAATATGGGGTGATGATGATGATAATAAAGTCACCGCCTCCTCTCCTTGTGAAGTCAAAATCATTAAAAATTCAGTGGCCTTCACGTCACTCAGGGCTAAGGCCTCCCTCTGGCCCTTGAGGCTGGGTGCCGCCCATCTGTGGCCTGGGCCTGCGTTAAATACCGAAACCATCTCAAATGCAACAAGGGTAGTAGACCGGTGATCCAAAAGCCGCGGCCCGGTACCTGGTTACAAATCTAAGTCCCGGCTCGCTGGCGGGCCGGGGTGGGACCTCGCCTCCTGGCTCCCGCAAGGTCTGGTGGGAATTGTAGTTCAGTCGTCGGAGAGCCCTGCCAAGCCTCACCTCTCTCCTCTGCTTCCTACCCGCCCCGGATGAGTGAGCAGTATGGGGACCGCCTACTGGGAATCAGACCACGAGGGACTACAATATCCAAAGGACCGTTGGCCGCGGCGCCCAGCCCAAGGTAGCCCGCGGCGCGCTCCTGCGCACGCGCACACGTCCCGGGCGGTGGCAGGGTTCGGCAGCGTGCGCTTTCCCGCCCAGGCTAGCCCTCCGTTCTCCCGGCGTTTTAGGGCTCCGGTCCGGCTTCGCTGGCCAGCCCAGCGTTCGCTCTTTGACGGCTTTGCGCGCCCCTGCTTCTCCGCGGTTTCCTCTAGAGCCCAAGCCCCGCCCGTTTGCCGCCCCAGGGCCTGGTTCGTTCCCGCCCCAGCCCGCCCCTCTTCTTTGCGCCCCTGTGCTTCTGCCGAAGGCAGAGGCTCCATGTTGTCCCCTCAGCGTGCGGTAGCGGCTGCCTCAGGAGGAGCAGGTGAGGCGCCCACTTTCCCCAAACCCTCTCCACGGCCACTCCCGTGACTCTCCCTGTCATAGTTCCTAGGAGACCGTCCGTGTCTCTCCTCGTCGTCTTCCTGGGTCTAGGACCGCAAGCCCCTCGGCCGAATCCGTCGGCTCACGAATTCGGGGCCAGGGGCTCCGGGATGGGCTGGGCCCGGCGGGCCCGGCGGCGCCTTCCTCAGCTTCCGGCTGGGAGCGGCCGTCCTCTGGACTCGGGCTCTACGCCCGGGGGAGGCCGCCAGCTTTCCTCTGGGCCGCTGCTGCCCGTTTGTGTGCCTCGCGCCCGCCGGGCGGCGGCCCCGAGAGCCGGGGTCCCCGCGGGCGGCGTCCGGAGCTTCGGACCCGTCGGGTCCCGCACTGGGCCCCGCACTGGGCCCCGCTGGCAAATTTGGGCGGTTTTGGCCGTTTTCATGAGCCGGGCTGGAGCGGGAAGCTGCTTTATTGTTAAGCTTTTGGTAAAGTGCTCAGGGCTGCGAAACGTCCTAGAGTTGGAAGCCTTAGCTTTATCTTGGCGACCTTGAGACACCGACACCAAAAAGTCAGAAAAGTTCGTTTTGAATCCGCAGAGCCCATCAAGCACGGCTTTTTGGTTCGTGCTTCTAATATGTGTAATATGGGACGCTGGTCTTTTGCTCCCCGAAGCCACAAAACCTAGGAAACATATTAAATGCAAAGCAGATAAGACGTCACCACGAATTCCCGGGCCGACCGGGGCTGTTGCTTCACCTGGCTTGTTCCGTGCGGAAAGTGTGCGCTGTTGAAAGCGCCAGGAGCTTCCCTTGTGAAAGCTAAAGCAGCAAGAAGAGCGTTTGAAGGACCTTTTAATAAGTAGATTCCCCCTTCTTAAATTTGAACACGAAGTTGAGTGCGGTATTTTGTGAAAGGCGGCGAAAACTGTCGGACCACGGTCGAGCTTGCTTTTGGCGGAAGCATAGTTAAGAAACAAGCTTTGTAGTTTTTCTGATCTGCAGGTATTCAGCGTTGCAAGATAGGCACTGAAATTCAAATTAGTGCTCTTTTTTTTTTTTTTTTTTTCCGGCCTCACAGAAACTAGCTTGTAGTCTAGAAATTCTTGTTGCTGCTTTAACACCTGCGAAGGAAAACAGTGAAAAATCTCTACATAATAAAGCCTTAACTCTAGAACAACACATTGTTTCATTAGCTACTGTTTATTCGCTCATTGTAGTAATTAATCTTGAAAGTAAGACAAGTAACAACAGGATAAATGTGATGTGTACTGTTGTAATGTTCTTAGTTTTCACTAAATGGGCTTATTTAGAACAGACTTAAAATTTTTTCTAGAAACCAGAATTCACTGCCATGGAGAAGATGCCGATGGCGGGAGCCACCCCCTTTGGGTCCCAGGCGGTAAATCTTTAGGGAAGTAGGTTGCCCAACCTTCCTTCGGTGGAGTGGCTGGCGGGTTTGAACCGTCAGCCTTCTGGTTAGCAGTGAAATGCCTTAAGCACTACCCCACCAGGAGGTGCATATGCAGAGTCGTAGAGTCAGTGTATTTTTGCCCTGAAATGGTAGGAAATCCAAGCCAAATAAATATCACCAATTAAGCCTCTTAAATGGGACACACCTAATTAAAACCTTCAGGTAAACTACATTGATTTTGGTCGTAGTCGCACTTTTAGGAAAGAGGTAAATAATAACACTGAATTCATTTGATTAAAAAAATTTATTTTCTGTAGAACGGCCTAGAATAATTTCTAGAGTCAGCCTATTGCTGGAGTTTTCTGGATCTTTAATAATGTTTAGTCATAGTCATAATCTTCATAAATGCATGAAGCACTTCACAATTCTTAGTCAACAAAGAAGATACGGTTTTGTTCAGCATTCTGTGCTGAGGTTCAAAGATTTTCTAAGAAATGTTAAGAAAATGCTTCCTCTTAGCTGCTTTCCTTCATCACAGTGTAGATTCCCCCAATTATTCTGGTTAGTTGTGATTGACTAGTATGTTACTGAAACAATCTTAACTATGTATGTATATCTACAAGCACACTCACTGCCTTAAAATAGTATAGAAAATCGGCCTTCCCCCAAGAATAAAGAACCACACCCAGCAGTCCTGGAGTTGGCTGATGGCTTTAGTATACTTAGCCTTGCAGATGATGATGTGTTTTCTCTGGCTTTGTCCATGAATTAGGAAGTTTAAAGACTGCCAGCAAGAACAAGGCATGAGAATGGTATGTGTCTGTTTTTGGGTGTGTGGTTCTTGCCCTTTAGAAAAGGGGATAGTTTAAAGGGAGAGTGGAAAACTCAGGTCAGAACTTTACTGAGTCATGCACTATTTGGTACTCAGTAAAGTGTTTCTTTTTAACTTTTATTTTATTTTCTGAACTCCATGGACAGTACTGATGAACACTGAAGCTGCATCTACCCCCAGTGGTTCTCAACCCAGAGTAGTTTTTGCCCCAGGGTACGTTTGGCAATGTTTGGAGACATTTTTGGTTGTCGGAACCTGGGGAAGGTGCTGCTGATAGCTAATGGGTAGAGGTCAGAGATGCTGCTAACATTCCAAAATGCACAGGCTAGCCCCACAGGGAAGGGTTATCTGGCCCAGTGTCAGTAGTGCCAAGATCGAGAAATCCTGGTCGATTGATAAATTGATTAAAAACTGTGTATGAATTTCCTGAAATAAGAGTTGTAACTGCTTCCAGTTAACTAGTTTCATTGACTTTATCACTATTCAGATGATCATCTCAAAAATTTGAGGGGCATTTAAACTTTTTTCCATAGGACTTTTAAACTTTTAGAACTTTTCCGTAGGACTGAAAACACCGATTATGATTGAGTAGTCACGTCCACTTCATTCAGCTTGTATAAACATGCAGAATCACATAAACCCACTTTTCTCCTATATTGTAGTCAGCTATAGGTACTTTTTTTTCTTTTATTAAAAAAACAAACAAACAAACTCACGGCCATTGAGTCGATTCTGACTCATAGTGACCACCTTTGAGTTTTCCAGGTGGTAAATCTTTATGAAAGTAGCTTGCCCAGTCTTCCTTCTGTGGAGTGGGTGGTGGGTTTGAACCACCAACCTTTCATTAGCAGTCAGATGCCTCAGGCACTATGCCACACCCAAAACACCCCACCAGACTCACTGGAGTCGATTCAACTCATAGCGACCCCTCCTTGGGTTTCTGAGGTGGTATCTCTATGGAAGTAGATTGCCTAGTCTTCCTTCTGAGGAGTGGCTGGTGGGTTTGAACCACCAGCTTTCTAATTAGCAGTCATATGCCTTAGGCACTGTGCCACCAGAGCCCCCTAAAAATTCAATGAGAAGATGATTCTGAAAATTCAGTGCTGTAATATTCATAGATCTCTACAAATTCTTCCAATAATTTACCTGTTAGTCTTTAAACGTCATCCTGTATTGGGTTTCTTTATTTGCCATTTTAGTGCAGACCTGTTGTTGTTGTTGTTATTTGCCGTCGAGTCGGCCCGACTCATAGCAACCCCTCCTTGGGTTTCCGAGGCAGTATCACTACGGAAGTAGGATTGCCCAACCTTCCTTCTGAGGAGTGGCTGGTGGGTTTGAACCGCCAGCCTTCTGGTTAGCAGTCAAGTGCCTTAGGCACTATGCTACCAGAGCTCTTATTTCAGCAGACGTATTATTTTAACTTCCTGGTTAGTCTGGATTAAGGTGTGTTTTGCCAAAAGTAAAAGACAAAGCAGTACGTTATAAGTAATTAGAGAAATAACTTCCACCTAAGTTGTTTGAATACTTTCTAAATACTATCTGAAGATTTTCAACTTTTGAAATGATGTTTGATACAGTATCACCATGAGCTACTTGCAGCAATAACCAGAACTGGCTGTATGGTATTTTTGCAACTCACTTTTTAGGTTACATAGGTTTTTAGTCCCCCCCAAAAAAAGCCATTAGAATTGAGTTGATTCAGACTCATAGCGACCCTGTAGGACGGAGTGAAACTGCACCTTGGGTTTTCAAGGTGTAAATATTTACGGAAGAAGATTGCTACATCTTTCTTCCATGGAGACTGGTAGGTTTGAACCACCTAGCATTTGATTCGCAGTGAGCACTTTGACCACTGTGCCTTCAGGGCTCCTTATGCAGCTCCAGACCTTGTAAAAGAATGGATTCTCTAAATAGAGATGGCATGTAAGGTTGCCACTTACAGGTATTTCTAGTTTTATCTCTGGGATTAGATCTCCATAGTTTATGATTTCTGAGAAAAACCAAACCACAAACCCACTGGCATTGAGTTGATTCCGACTCATAGTGACCCCAGTTGGATTTCCAAGGCTGTAAATCTTTACGGAAATAGAGTGCCTCATCTTTCTCTCACAGAGTGGCTGATGGGTTTGAACTGCCAACTTGCTGGTCTGGAGCCAAATGCCTTATGCACTGCATGGAAAGTGGGAGTAATTTCACTATGGTTAATAAAAAACCTTTTGCATCATTAAACAAGTTACTTTAATATTTGATCATAAATTTTTTTGTTAAAGTATGTATCATACAACATTTGCCAATTTAGTGCTTTTGTGTACAGTTCAGTGACACAGTTACATCAATAGTAAATTTAAAAAAAAATTTGTGTTTTAGATGAAAGTTTACACAGCAAATTAAGTTCCCATTTAACAATTTGTATACAAATTGTTCTGTGATGTTTCTTACAATTTTCACAAGATCATGTAAATTTTGATCCACTCTTTAGCCATATCTGTACAATTTAAATTAAGCTAAGGTTGACTAAATGAACTAGCAAGTTTGGCCAATTTAGATACCCAGGAAATTGTCAGTTTATTCAAGAGTCATTTGAATTTTAGTGCCTAATCCAACTGACTGATTTTAGCAAAAACTGAAACAGAAGTAAAATTACTGATTTGTGGTTTTACAGTCAGTGCAAAACTAAATATACCATCTCTCTAGAATTACCTTTCCCAGAACAGGAGCCTAAGTCGTGGAAGAAGAAATGATAGGATTTGGTGATATGTTGC